AGATTTTTCCTGAGGGATCATCTCATTGATAGCTCTCCAGAGGAGGCTGCTTATTCCTCTTCTTCTCAGCAATCTAGGCCTTAATCTCCTCCTGAGTCTCAATTTTCAGCATCTCAATATCATTGCTGAATTGAGAATTGATGGCTCCTAAATTTGACGGAATCTCAATATCTTTCTTCATCTTCTCAAATCATTGAGCATTCCTCTGAGATTATTGCTCAAATCTCTCCTCCCACTTCTGAGCTTCCTCTAAGCAATCCTTGAGGAATCCTTCTGAAGGGCAGATCTCTATCCTATTGAATATTGCCTCAAAATCTGAGATAGCTTCTTTAAGATCTCTCTTAAGTTACGTAAATTGATCGCTGATATATCTCATTGAGGCAATGAGGTTTCTCAAAATCCTTTTTCAGAAGTCTCTACCCTTCCCTGCTCAATCTTCTTGAGGATTTCCTGAGCCTTCTGAGGGAGATCCTGATCCTCATCCGAATTTTCCTCAGGCTCATGCTGAGGAATCTTATCTGAATTTTTCCCGTATCCCTGGGGAGCTTCCTCAGGTAGCTCTGAGCGGAGCCAGGGTCTCTTCATCTTAGATATAATTATGAAATCATATCTAAGATATTATCTCCAGGAGAGAATCTCAATCCGGCTCTCAATATTGATTGATCTATTCAAGAATGAAACTCATCTGATATTTAGTATATCTTATCTGCCAAAGAAATCGATCTAAATAGATCTTAATTTCCCTTCTTTCTGAATAATATTGAGAATAGAGAATGAATGATTCATGATCGTTGAGGCGATTGAATCTCAATACGTGGGTCTTCCTGACCCAAGATTCATTCCTGAGCCTCTGCATCAAGGGAAATTACTCATGGCTGCTATCTTAAGAGATCTCAGGAAAGCTGAGGAAGCCTTAGAATAGAAAGAGATTGAGGCCATGCAATTCAAATTCAATATTATTCAAAAAATTCAATTCAAATATAATTCATTAATTATCAGTTATTCCAAGGCTATCTATCTCAATTATTACTAAGTGATTTGCAGCTGAGATAGAGCTCAGGGCGAGGATTTCGAAGCCCCCACCAATCATCCTATAGAATGTCCTTCTTATAATTCTCTCTGAGATACGCCCTAAAGGCAGAGTTCAAGGTCAGAAAGCTCAAAAAGAGCTCAAAATCCTTCAAAGCCGAAGATTGCTGAAGTATCAAACCAAATGAAACCTCAAGAGAAAATTCAGCAGAAATATATATATATATATTGCTCAGATAATATTATTATCGATTCTTCTCTTAATATCAGTATTCATAATAATCTTAATATTAATATTCATTTTAATTGTTATAATAATAAAATTCAATTCAAATCTTTCAAATAATTATTGATTCAAAATATATAAAATATTTGAAAGAGAGAATTATATATTAAAGCGAATCCAATATTATTAGAATTCATATTTTTTATATATATTATAATATCTAATCCTATTTATAATTCTCCCTTCCAAATTCGGAAAAGAATCTATATCTCTTACGAGGGATCAGAGCAAAATTTTTAGAAGGTCGAAATAATAAAAAAATCCTATGCGCAGAGCCACTATATTATAAGAAAAAAATTATTAATATTAAATCCTCAGAGATTCAAGCTCGTTCCTCGAAAAAAAACGACCTATCATTTAATCGATACGTAATAATTACGAAATAAAGAAATTTGAATATAATACCTTAATAGAATTTATGATATATTTGTCTATTAGATATCCAAAGATCTTGGAAACTATTATGCAAATCTCACGATCTATCATAGAAATCTCAGGACCTATTATAGATATCTTAGGACCTATAATAAGAATTGAGAAATATTCTGCCGAAATCATTCCAAATCGGTTCAGAAACCGCGAACGACGCAGCGCAATCTGTCTCGAATCATTCTAAGATATTGAATCGGGGCTAAGCATTAAATAAACCTCTTCGAATAGTTCTGCAAATTAACTAATAGAAAGCGGTCTATAAATAAATCAATCGGCGGGCAAATCTCAATCAAGAGAAATCTAGAAATAGTTCCTAAAATTTTAAGCATATCTAAAAATAATTCCTAAGATTATCTTGGTTTCGAAGAGAAACCCCATATTAAATCCCTCATAAATTCTTCTAAATAATGCCCAATGAGATTTTCAATTCGATCTAATTCAAAATATAAGAATATCAAAATATCTATCTTCAAAGTCCCTCGTTACCCACTAAGATTCCTTGTTAATTTATCTAGATTCCTTTTCGTGGCGGGGGATCCTCGAACTAATATTGAAGACCTTTGTTTTTACCAAAATCTTGGAGATTTTTAGTCGCCACTTTTGCTTCCAACATAATTTTTCTATTTTTGGTTATCTACATAAATATTCGGTCGTGCGCATAGATAAAAATAGAGAATTAAAATCTATTAGAATTCATAGATTAATCGTTATTATTTACGAAGATTCATGTGTTTTGTAGCCGTCGCGCAAATAACTCAAAAGAATGCCACGGCTACCCGATCAAAAGAGCGCGTAACCAAGCATCAATCAAATTATGGATATATTGTTCTTTCTTGGCTGCCTACGGCGGGTTAAAAGAACGTGAAGATCCAATGCGGAGATCTAAAATCTTTCAGAATCAAAATGGTTTTTATGGTCTTAAAATATTGATAATTCATCGGGCTTCCTTGCTAGGTTCTCATTATGAATCTTCTTAAGCAGATTCTCCGATGTTATAGACAGCTAGACAGCGAGCCAGCTCTAGTATATCTATGTTTGCCCGAGACGCGCATAGCCATCTTCCGCAACAATAGAAATTGTTATACCGCAAGCGCTATGGCATCGCCGCGCAGCGCTTACAGTATGCTTCGAGCTCAACAAGTCTACACGAGAACTTGCGAGAAACAAATTTGATATCCTCGAGACTATATACAACTTCGTGCCGAACCTTTGTACCTCGGGACCGGCGACGGGGACATCCAGCCCAGCTTCCAAGCGGCTGCCAGAGCACACAGCCTCTGTAATCTGGACCATGCCGCTATGCAAGAAGTCCTGGCTATACGCGATGCAGCAAGGGCACGTCGATTTTGGGGACAGTCTTGACCTGCTGCGACGTGGCGGAGCCTGGCAAACTTTGGCAGCGTTGTTAGTCGGACCTCTGCGAGGACTTCCGCCTTCGATATCCCGAGCAGATTGCTGTAGACCTTGCCCTACAACATATACAAGAATGCTTGGAACACAGCGGTCACACAAACTCGGACTTCGATTTGCCGCAGCCTACAAGGTGCGTGATCTCCAAGCCGAGTTGGATTCCGATGCAGCGCAAGAGACCGCGGAAGCAATGCAAATGCAACGATTCCTAGAAGACTGTCTCGAACAGTTGCATGCCTATGAGCATTTGACAGAAACCTCCGACATCTTCCTGGATGGCCCCAGCGGCTGCGGGAAATCTTCCTTCTTCGAGGCGTTCTTGCACTACGTCTGGCGGTAACATTGTTGCCGCGAGGCGGGATATGCCACGCGCGGTTTGGTTTCCCTGTCCCGCTTCATTGGAGCGTTGCAGCTGCAAATGAGAGAGGAACAAGTGCTGCCCCAATATAGCGAGATAGGGGCAGCTTCTGCACCAGCCCCGCATGCCGCCGATGCTTGCATGCAGGATCTGCGCTAGAGCGATGAGATATCTCGTGGAGCTTTGGTCATCGTAGGGGGCGACCTTCGGCAAACGTTGCCCGTTGTTGAGCTAGAGCACCGCAGAGAGATTGATTGTTGCTCGCATAGTCCCACAGAGCCTGTCACGAAATCAGCGTGTGCCAGCAAATCGCAATTAACGCGATTTTTTGTTGAAGGTGTGGAGGAATGCTTGCCATTCGGCATTGATGCGGGTCATCGCAGATCCATATTTATGTTCATATTCCGTGCCGTTGCCGCGCGAGATCTGCCTTCCTGTTGATACTTCCGCAGACGCTTCGGTGGCGCACATCGATCTTGTCTTGCCCGAATTCGAGTCTGTGGCTTTTGGCTCCGGTATTTGTAGAAGCCTGAGAGTGAAACGTTGTGTGTTACTTATGCCAGCGATCACAAATTCATTTCTTCTAAAGGGGCTAGCTGGTGGATCTCTCCCGCAAACCCATCCACGGAAACATGCATGCCCAGCACATGCTGGAGCAACCTACATATCAAGAATACTGCAATGTGACTCACCCGCTCTAAAGAAACAGCCAAAGGAACGAAGAAGATCTAGAACATTCCAGAATTCCAGAACAGGAGAAAACTTGTATCAATTCGACGTTTCATCAGCTCAGCTTCCGAGCACAGCGCCCCGATGGCGGGCGAAGCTGCTGTGCCTGGCTTGGGCACGCCCAAGCAGATCATCAATCTGCTTGCTGTAAAAAAAAGCTGGTCTTGGTGCTCACTTAAGCTATTGAACCTCGAGCTGCACCTCTGAGCGCAGGTTGTTCGGGGACTTGTGGCTGTCGGCTCTAGCGACTTCAAGTGCTGCCACTCAGATTCGGCAAACATGTGCCGACTGCGCCATGCCTGCTTCTGCAACTTGCGGAGCATGTCTTCTTGGGACTGGACCTCCTGCATCTGCTTACGCAAACCTTAGAGTCCGCGGAGGGTTCCGAAACGGTCGTAACAAGCGCAAATACGCCAGACTGTCGTATGCCTTCAAGCCATGCCCCCAGCCCAGACTTAAACTCAAACCAACCCCGGTTTCGGAGTGGACTTCTGTGCAGCCTGGCGGCGCCTGTCCATTTCTTCATGTTCGGCCAGCAGTCTCTCCTCCTTGCAGGAGAGTGTGGAGACTCACCCGAATTTTGATCAAATTGCCGGTCTTAAGAGCTCGCAGTTTGCTTCCGGTTTCTAAAAAAAGCTGCCTATCCGAAGCAGCTCAGGCAAGCATTCATAGACAATTGCTTACCGCTTTGGCCGCCCCTAGACCCCAAAAGCCTAACCACTGAGGGCAGCTGCAGAAGAATCAGCTTCAAGTCTCCTTGGGATCCTGGGTCGTCTCTTCGCTCCTCATGAGGAAGCTGACGTGGACTTCTCAACAAGAATTGTAAACAGGATTGATTACATGTAACTATCCACTTGAAGTGCTCTCCTATTGCAAACCTTGCATGCAACTGCGACAGATTCGCCCGGACGTGGCAGCAGCAAGAATGAGGTGAGCATGAATGCTGTGGCTTGACTCTTTGCTTAGAAAGCATATACCGTGCCTCAACCAAACAGCGCTAGAGCCAGAATCACGTTCCCTGGCCAGTTCAAGATCAAAATCATCGGAATGGCGAGGCCATCTCACAGGAAACATCCGAAAGGCTTTGGTATACAGAGTCTTGCAAGGTCTCCGGCGGTGACAAATGCTGTCAGCAGTGGCGGGGAAAACCTTCTTGTAACTTTGTTAACTCGCTGTAGCGCTCGTACTACTCCCTCAATCCATCGCTTTGACTAGCCCATCTGTTCAGCAGCTGATGTTCCGCTTCTAATGCTCCTGTCGCCCAGCAGGTGTCGAAGCTTGGCACGGAGGCTGCGCCGCAACGATTGCTGCTCCTCCAAGGAAAAGAAAAAAGAGCTCCTGGTTTCTTGTGTGGTTCTGTGTACGAATTTCAGGCTTGCTTTGCGGAGCTGCAGCGAAAGACGAGTTGTGTTGACAAACCCGTGTTCTTCAATGCCGGAAAAACATGATGATGCGCAATCGTGAAGCCTCCGGTCTTTGGGTCTCTGACTGGTGCGGCAGCCATCGGGTATGTAACGGTATGTAAAATCCCTGCGCACCTCCAGGGCTTGGAGTACAGCCTCCTGTCGGCCAGTGCGGGTTACAGTGATCCGACAACTCATGCTTAGCAGAACCAGGGATTCGTTCAGGCACTACAGGGATTCCGAGAAGTCGAGACAGGAAAGAACATCGCAGACTGTCATGGGTCTAGAAATGTCTAGAACATGATGCTTGATGATGCGGGCTGAGAGGCATCGTCCATCTCAACAGCGATGTTCGCCGTCGGAGATGGCTCAGATGGCTCAGCCTGGTTTTGATGGCTTTAGGAAATGCCCGGCCCTTTCTCCGTCGTCAATCGCCTCTAGCTGGTTATGCTGCTATGCCATGCTGCGTGCGGGTGTCTTCTCGTGCTACTTGAGACACAGGCCGCAGAATATTACAGGAAGATGCATGACGATCGAACTGGGAGCCTTTGCAGGCGTCTCTGCGACTGTCCGTTCCCTCGGCTGCATCGAGATTCAAGCATTATTGACATGACCAACATGGTAAAGGACTGGTTGTGCCACATGGCACGTTGAACCCTTCCCCCATGCCTTGTTCAAAAAGGTGTGATGAAACTTGTTTCCGCTTCAATTGAGCTCCAAGCACTGACAAGTAAAGCGGCGAAAGTTGGACATGGCAAGGATTGCAAGGCCCTTGACTGCAGTCTTGCAAAGTTTTTTCTTCCGTGTAATACCAGGATTGCAGGGAGCCTGACGTGCAGCTTGGTGGCGGAGCACGCGGAAGCTCTGCCGGCACACCAGAAGACTTGGCCTTCTAGGTTTCTACTCTTTCTTTTTGCTTTAGGCTTTAGGGTTGCAGAGCTCAGGTTGTCAGGTAGGCCGTTCGTGAACGCAGGCATCGGAGCCTCGAATTTCAAAACAGGACAGAACTATCTGCGAAGAAACTCTTCTCGGTGGGGCCGTTATCAAGTGGCAAACTCAAAAACTTGCAGCGCAAATGGAATCTCGACTGGCCAGCTATGCGCTCGCGAAAGTGCCACACTGCTTTGGTGCCAACAGCTAGCTTTTGCTTGACAGGGGGCTCTCCAGCGTGGGTTCCATCTGCATTGTCCCCCGGCCAATCACTCCGAAGCTAGCCCCCATTTCCACACATCCTTAACCTTGAAGCCGAAATCCTTGACAGAGCTCACCTCCTCTTCACCATGCTGGAGCTGCGCCCTTGGTGTATCCGCACGTCGCGGTGGCCCAGAAAATCATATGCCAAAGCAGACTGGTAGGTTCAAGCGTTTGAGCATTTGCAGCCATGGTCTGGGGAGTTTTTGTTCACCTCACATTAATAAACCCCCGCATAACTGCAAAATCCAAATCCCAGAACGTAATTACAGACCCTACCGTAATTGCAAAATCCGACCTGCCAAAGCGCAAAAATTCTGGAAGCGCTCGAAGAGTACCGTGTTGCCCAAGATTAGGTGTCATCAGAGTGGTCTTCCAAAGCAAGTGGTGCTTCTACTACTGGCCAATACTACTATTGGCTACGACGAATGGAGTTCCAGCTCACGGTCCCGGACACCCTTAATTACGGAGGCTCGTGTTCACATCCTCGGGGAAAAAATGGGGGGAGGGGGGGGGGCGGGTTTATTATTATGAGGTTAACATTATGATCATGACAAAAGGATCCAGACAAACCATGAGCACGACCTCTGCTGCCGCAACACAAGACAAGAATTCCACGAGATATGCAGGACCGCATGCTTCATGTCGTCGTTGTCAGAATCAATAAAGCTCAGGGTGCAGGTAAGCCATCTGATGTGTTCCGAAGCTTCAACTCCCTCAAGACCCTTACATACCCTTACCTTTGAGTCCTTGCCCTGGAAGCAGAGGCTGCCTTGCAATGCCTTGGCAGCCTGAAATGATCGGCCAAGGCACAGCTGTCGCTGAAGCTCCTCCTGGCGCCGCAGCTGCTCATCTAACTTCTGTCGCAACTGGGCCCCAGCCTCAGAAGCTTTGGAACTTGTTGCTGCCCTTGGTCGTTTGGGTGGATGTCAGCTGTTTGAAGCTAGGGACGCTTTGCATCAGGCGTGCACTTTCCCTTACTTTCCACGCCCGAGCGGCATTGGAGGCCCCGAGACTGGCTCCAAGGCCGCCTGGCCAGTGCTGAGTGTGCACAACGAATCTTTCTGTAAGTCTTCCTAACAGCACGCCTGCTGTAACTAGCTACAAATACGACCCTCATCTACTCCTCAAACTCTCCCGAACTCTGCTTGCTTCTGCTGTGACACGGAGGCACGGAGGCACCTTTGAGATCTGTGTCCTTTTCCTTCACCAGCTCTGCAGCGCCGGCGCCAGCGCTGGTGATGGGCTGCAGCGGACCGCCTCCTTCTTGGCACTCTTGGATGCTGGACTCTTGGAACTCTTTTTTGAATGATTTTGTGAGAACGCCGCCGTCGAACAACACAAGCTGTCACCTGGCCGTCGGTAAAAAACTTATTCCATCACCAAACGGGATTTTCGGGCCACCAAATGGGCGTTTCATGTCACCAAAAGGGAAAATCCGATCACCAAAAGCCCTTTTCCAATCACCAAAGACATTTTCAAGCCACCAAAATCCAGATTTTTCAGGTCACCAAATCAGCGCTTTTCAGGTCACCAAAAACGATTTTCAAGTCGCCAAATCGGACTGTTTGAGCTACTATAAAGGCAGCCGAAACTCACCAAAGCCTCCCCTCCTGCGGGGCACTTAGGCCACTGGTCTCTCATCCAAAGACCGATCGCAATGCAGCCCCACCCTAACTTACCCAACCCCACCCTACCTGGCACATCCTACCACCCTACCCACCCACCACCCTGCTGCTACCCACGCACCACCTTCCGTACCCAAACCACGACCACTTCCCTGGCTAACCGCCCCCCACCACCCAACCTTGCCCCTACCTAACCCAGGCTAGCCTGACCTAACCACACCAACTACCCGACCAACCCCCAAACCACTCCGAGCCAAGTAGCACCACGAACCCAAAACTCACCAAATTTGAACCAAAAAACAACCCAAAACTCCCCAAAGCCACCCCCTGCCCTTCCACCCAAATCACCACCCTAACCTAACCAAACCTAACCTGACGTAACCCAACCGCACCACTACCCTACCACATAACATCGCTCCCGCACCCTTATAGATTCAGGGTTCAGGGCTTATAAACTTCCATCTAATTCCAGTTCGCGATGCCCGGCCCGACCTGAGCTGATCTGACCTGAACTGGCTTCCTGTGGACTGTCGCGGCCGGCATCTGAAGAGGAAGCCAGGTCAGGTCAGGGCCGGTTGGGCGAGCGCGTGACCTGGCCTTGCAAGGTAAAGCAAGCTAAACGGGGCGCTGCAAGCAATTTTGAATCCTGAGGTTGGAAGATCCAAAATATGGAGTTTGCGGTGTCAGGGTCCCTCAGAAATTTAACCGTGGAGATCAAGGCCGGCCGCGACCATCCACAGGAAGCCAGTTCAGGTCAGATCAGCTCAGGTCGGGCCGGGCATTGCGAACTGGAATTAGATGGAAGTTTATAAGCGTGTGGGAGCTGTAGGAGTGGGGAAGTGAATCCTCTAGTTTGTCCTTACGTCATCCCCGCTTTGTGGGACTGGCTTAGCTTCCCTTACCTTGGGAGGACAGGTCACGTGCTCATCCTGCAAAGGTCACGTACTGGTCCGCAAAACGTATGTGTCCGCAGACCTGAGCGAGCTGAGCTGACCTGGCTTCCTCTGGGCGGCCGCGGCTTGCCTGCGGGAGGACAAGTCACAGGAGGCCCGTGAGAGGCACTTGGAAGGCCCGACCTGACCTAAGATAAGCTGACCTAGGCTACTCGGAACAACTCGCTGAATAGGCGGGTTGGTTTGCTGAAAGGACGATTCAGTTCGCTGAACGGACCATGTTCCCCTACCCCACCACCCTAACTGCAACTTCATCCTCCTCCTCCTGACTACCACCGACCTTTGCTGCCCTCCCACTCTACCCCTACCCAAACAACCTTCCAAATACTACCTCCCTGCAAGCTCACCCTCCCCACTACCCCCTACCTTTTGTGCCCTACCATCGTACCACCCACCACCCTGCCCCGACCTAACCCACCACTCCCACGCCTCCCCTAGCCCAAACCACCGCCCTACCCTGACCTAACCTTACCTCCTCTCTAACCACCCATTCCGAACCAAACTAGCACCTTGGCCCACCCCACCCTCCCCTGCCTCCTACCCCACCACCCTGACTTCGCACCCAAAACAGAGGCACCCGAAACTCACCAAAGCTTCCTTTCCTGCGGGTCACCAAACACTAACATCCCACAACAGCTCACCCCTCCAACCCGACAACCTTCCACTTTGCCACCCGACCAAGTCAGTCGCTAACCACCCCCACCTCCCATCCCTGCCAATCAACCCAAACCACTACCCTACCGTACCTTTACCGAACCTAACCACACCAATCACCCACCCTACCCTACTACCTATAACCCACTGTAGCCACCCACCTAAAACCACCCTGCTCCCCGAAGCACCGACCACCACCCCTTCCAAACTGCACTAGCACCACCTTAACCCACCCCACCCTACCCTACCTCCTACTACATTTTGGTGAGCAAGACCAGGATTTGGTGATCCTGGGGTCTTTTTTGGTGACCCGAGACGGCTGTTTTGGTGAACTGAATTTACCTTTTGGTGGCCCGAAATCTTTTGGTTGCTGAGTCGGACTGGTTCCCCTGGCTGTCCCCCTCAATCGGACTAATGTCTTGAATGATTTTTCTTGTAAGCCCACAGGCTTCCCGCGTCTCAGAGAAATCGTTCCTGTCCTCTATTGAAATGCATGCGCCTGAATGTTGCAGAAAAGGCAGGACACCAACACACCACTATATAGGCCCTGCAGCAGCTTCAAGGCTCCTCGGAAATTCCACGATGGCACCGGCCGCTTGTCAACACCACCGCGCCGCCGCCTTTCCTCTGCAATTCTGCGCTCTGGGACTACTACATAGGTACTGCTAGCACATCTGCCATGACCTCCAGATGCCCAGTCAAGACACGGCGGATCGTGCGCGCTCTACAGAGGCCAGCCAGTGTGCAGTGTCGAGGCCATGGATCTCGTGTATGGGACGCCTCCCAGCTTCAGAGCAGGGCAGTGGTGTAAGAGACATGAAATTGATATGCGAGGCATTTCAATGGAAGATTTGCCTTTGTGTAGGAGAAACGGAGAATGGAGGGCTGAGATTGAAGCAAAGCTTTGGCTAGGTGCAGGACTCAGCGCGAGCAAGTTTACTCCAACGCAGCAGACCCATGAATAGCTACAGTCACGGTATGTCACGGTAGAGCCACTACACTACGACACGCCCAAAAGTTCTGGTTGATCAAGACTGCCACGCTCGTGGCTGTGCCCAGTCGAGGCACTGTCTAAATAGAATCATAATCCAAAAGCTGCATGGAACATAGAACTTCTCCGACGCCGGCGTAGACAGTGGCTGAAGATGTAGACTATGCGTACCCGCTACCCTGTACGCAGTTTTTTTTTGTTTTGCTATGGCTGTTGTACTGCACGCGGTGGAAGCTCAGAAGGAAGGTGGTGACGCATCTCCATGGCATGGCCAGCGCTCTGCCCAGAACAAGCAGATCCCTAACATCTTTTCATGCCTTTACTCAAGGAAAAAAAGAAGAGCAGTGAAGCAGGAATCCCAGTAGCGATCGTGGCAAGCCTAACAAGTGAGAGCCAGCAGATGCCTCATGGAGCGCAGCACAGCCTGGAGAGCAGGCCTGGAGGCGAATACATCTGACGAGCCTAGGCCTAGAACAAATCAGAACAAACTGGCTTTTAGCCTGCCTCAAAATACCACTGTGCTTGACTTGCGATTGTTGCTAGCGACTTCTTGACTCAAGCTCCCACGCGGCACCTGGACAGGGCTTGGAGCCATCCCCTCTTAAGGAACCTATCTTTGCTACCACGCAGTCCACTTTGGAGCTCCTTGGCTTGGATGTCTCCTTCCCAAGAATGCCGATGGAAACGTCATAGCGCTTGGACATCCTCACTGGGCCCAGCGTATGCTGGGCGTCCATACTGCTCGCATGTTTCAAGTCCACATCAAAAAACTGGTCGAATTTGGAGGTGGTCACAGGGAGCAGGGGAGGGCAGTTGCAGCCTACCAATGTCTATCCCTCCTACATCCATGCTGCTGTCTGTCTTGCACGTGAACCTAAGTTTTTGAGCCCCTTCTGGAAGCCAAACCCTCAGCCAAGCCGCGGCTGCTCTGAGGGGCCCGGGCCCGGGCCCCGCAGCTGCGAGGCTCTCAGCGCTGGCCTCAGCTGGCCAAGTGACACCAAGCGACTCAGCATGAAATCAAACAAACTTGGAGCCAACATGGAGCACGTGCAGCTAAGCAGCGTGGACTGCGACTTTGTTGGTGGCTGCGGCGTTAGCCGCAGCTGGGGCGGCCGTGGGGCCTGTGTTCTCAAGATGTTGAGGGATCATGCCAAGCGAAGCAGTTGGCGGGATCGCAGCTATATTGCCACGAGAAATGCGGCTGAAAAAGCACAACCTTCCAGCTGCCAGTGGGAACAAGACTCAACTTACCCGCTTTTGCTGACTGTGCGCTCTTTCTTTGCAAGCTTGCGCTTGCATCCGTTCTCACGACTCAACCCCACCCTTACCAGAAAAAAAAATCTTTAGGCGTTCAGCACATTCAGTCCATCACAAAGTACTCTGCGACCTCCATGTGATCTGCCAAGCCGGTCATCCGGAAGCGGGAGCATCTACAGTGAAACCGTGCATTGCTTCTTACCTGATCCCACACAAGCTCTGCTGCCAAGTACCGGGCATGATCATGAGAGATTCACGCTTGGGTACAGAGTACATCTATGACGTTGTCTAGAATACGCTTTCCCTTGAATCTGGGCAAATGGTGCCAACATGTGTGGTGCGCCCGCGTACATGCAAACCCACCTACACATCGCATCATGCTGAAGCAAATAGGCCTGTAGCAGTTTCTTTAGTTCTAGCATTCTTAGATTCCTGGCACGATAGTGGCTCATTTCCCGTACCCTTTCAAGAAAGCATCAAGCTCAAGCAGGCCCCAAGTTTTCCAAGCCAGAAAACAAATACCTTGGAGATGTCACCGTGAAGCTTACAAGCTTGAACCGCAAAGGTGGAACATGATAACAAACGCGCGATGACGGAATTGGAATCATCATGCTTTTTGGCTGACACAAAGGCAAGGCCATTGTGGAAACGCGACGTCAGTGAAAGTCACAGGAAAGTTCAGGAAGCAGCAGGTACATGCCAGCAATATTAAGAAATACTTGGTTTTCATGTCCGCCAAGTTGATTGCTAAACATGAATCTACTGCACCCGAAGGTATTCAGCAGTAAGCCTGACCGAGGTTAAACAGCGGTCTCAGAACCTAAGAACGGTTCGCACCCGCGCCGTGTCATCGATATTGTTCAGCACAGCATTTATGTGCTCGAAAGGCTCTTCATGCGTGATGTACTCCTCAGCAGGCCGGGACCATGCCAGTCTGACAGGTCTCCAAACTTGCAACCACGTGGCATCCACCTTCAACTCTCCGGCCATGTAGAGGTCCTTCTTTTGAAGGGGTCTGGTAGCATGCAAAAACCTCGCAAAAGGCTGAGCAGGACTGAGGAGAAGACCACCAGCAAAGGGATCTGCGGCTTTGAGCGCCAACCTGGCGTGAGCCAGCTGTGGGAGCTGTCCCGCGGCGGTGGGTAGCATTGGCAGTTGCAGCAACAGTGGCACCGCTGCCACCATGAGAGCATGGGGCACAAAAGGGAGTTGAATGCCATGCACAGTTTCCTGTGCTGACGACGAGAGTGACAAGAAGCATAGCAATGGTCAGCAAGCTATCTCACCGTCGACGTCCCTTGAACTGACCATGCTTTCCAACACTTTGTGACACTGCCTCCAAATGTGGCGCTGATCAGACCCCCTGGTGGAGGCCAGGGAGACCGGAGGAGAACATCTGGACCTTCAGAGAAACCATTGGTCTGCCACGTACATCTGCTACAAAAGGCTATCCACTCCAGAATTCACAGGGCTGTCGTATGTACACATATCCATGACAGGCTGGGAAGGACATGGAAGGCCCTGAAACGGATTCATGCCGTGAGAGACCCCTTGCACCTCTACATGCTAAGTTTCCCGCCATTCGGAGTGCCAACGGTCACGCACTTGCCCCAGTCGCAAACGGCCTCTAAAACTGATGGTGCAAGCTCCATATCCCCTCTGCAGTCGAAGGCAAAGTCGGCGCCGGAGCCCTCAGTGCGCATAGCTCACTGGTTTAGGGATCGTCTGCAAATGAATCCAAGCTGCTGTGTGCTTCAAGATCTCATCCTGCAAGATGCTTGCTGCTCTCATGCTCTGTCTCATGAGACGTGTTTGTAAGTGCGTGCGACTTCTTTGCTTTCCATCTACAGTAACATTGTCCTTGATGCTGACACCCTCCGACAATGAATAAGGGTTCAAGAGGGTGGTTGCGCCCCATCTCTTGGCAAGGTCCTTAAGTACGCTTCTGCTGCAATGTGGCATAGACAACGTAACCTTTGATTGTCAGGCGAAGCTAAGGAGATGGCGAGCCTTGAAGGATATGGATCCACCACCACAATCCTTGTTGCTTGAACATGTGCAAATCGTAGCAGAGCTGTTTGCAGCATCTAGTCTTGTTTACAAAGCTTGCTACGCCCCCTTCAAACGGAATTGAACGCTTGGCAAAAAGCAGACATAGAAGGCCTGAGCGCCGCAAACGCCATCCCGGGCTGTATGTAGGAGATACCAGAAATTGGGAGAGGTACTTCGCGAGTGCCAGTTAACACGTCGCATCAGCAAGGTCAATGCGACTCTGTGCTAACGTTCAGCTAAGATTCTTTCCAGCTCCGGCTTTCACAAGCGCAGCAATCACGGCCAGGCCTTCAGCCTGCGCAAATGTGTGGAACCTGCTTAAAACCGACTGGAAACAGCATTGTCCCATCACAAGCCTGCGCCCCAAAGACGACAGCGGAAGCGCCCCGCTGTACACAAGCAATGTTCCAAACCTGAGCAGATGCCCGTGCCCGTTTCGAGAAAGGCTGCATCAGAACCTACTGCTCGGCTACAACCTTGGTACAGCTCCCAAGCCGATTGAAAGCTCACAAAGTCAACAGCTTTCTTTTCTTGCATCGTGCCCGAGGGACGGCTCCAAGGGCTGCGGCCACCCCGCCCCCAAGCAGGCCCAAATTGACCAGGGGAGCATCCTTCCAGCTTGGAGCAAAGGAACTCTTAGGTGCTCCTTGGGTCATGATATGTCATGATGTTTGAGGTCTTGAAGCCCTGTCAGCTATCCAGTGGAAGGCAACTATATATGCGTCACGCCTTCCGCACCTTGATGAGGGAGTGCGCGTGGACTACGCTGTACTCCTAGGAAAGGAGGCTCCGGGATTGTCAGAGTTGAACGCTTCGATTCGCTTTCCGAGGCCCCATCCGAAAAGGCACTGGTGCCCTTAAAGTGATAAATATCGGTGCTGCCATAGGAAAACCGCGACCGGCCATCGGTCGCCATCACACCACGGCCTGACACACGTAAAATGCAACTGGGGGGGAAGCCATACCACCAGCGCGAATGTATCCGCGAACAGACGGCAGGATAGAAGCACATGCAGGGAATTCACTATTTGGACAAGTGGCTCGTGGAGTGATGAACGGATTCACAGAAGTTGGACTCCTTTGCTTTCAGGAGGAATGGTGACAGGTATCCTCTCAACGTGAGGGCATGCTATGCTGGGCCATCGTCCGGTATTCTGCAGCCGGCGCATTCCCCGCAATGTGCTTGGTAGCATGGAATGACATGGTCACCGGGCTGAAACTCGACCACTCCCTCACCTCAGCCGTGATGCACCATTCCATTCTGTACTACTTGTGCTTTCGTGACTTCAGAGTACAGTTGGCAAAGTCTGTGTTGCCGAGCCTACATCTTCCACGATGGCGGAAGACTCTATGCCCAGGATTCGTGGGTATGGCTTCTCCTGTCCAAGGTTTGATCTCACGGCCCAAGGCTTCTCAAGTCAAACTCAGTATCCAGTGGAATCCAGCAAGTGGCAGAGCAGACATGCTGGCATCTGGCACCCGAGCATGGACCCCAAAACAAGACGAGAGCAAGCTAGCAAGGTTGCACTTTGTAAGCTCAGGATGGTCACCCTGCGGTGTATCATTGCTCGTGCATGTACTTGCCTACGACCCAGTCAAAGCTCGAACAAAGCCGCGATGAAGGGCGAAAAGGGAGATGAGATGGGAGAGGGAGGAGAGGGGGCGGGGTGATGTATCAGGACAATGCACACATCCCGGCCGTTCCCATCTTAGGAAGATGCATCCCTACTCCTACAACATGAGCCCTGCTACAAACCAGCCTCACGCGATTTGATGTCTTGAGCCCTAAACCATACGAAAGTTTAATGCTGTTTCCCGCTGCCTTCTCTGCCACCACATCTACTCGGGAAGGTATAGCAGCCACCTTTGAGCAACAGGAAAGCAGCTGGCGGGGGTCTTGATCTTTACGCTCCGACATGCCGAATCCTGGTGCCAAATCTCAAGCCGATATGTTCAAACACCACCATACAGCCAGAACCTCAGACTCAGACTTCAAACCCAACTCTCTTCCCCATTGATCCCCAATGTGTGCGGATCAAGACTTGTCAGGTGCCCCATAATGTCCCTCGTGGTGTCGCTGGCCTGGCGCACTCGCACCTCCCCCGCCTCGGGCGGGGAGACCTCGTCTCACGCTTGCAATTTGCAATGTTTTGCCATCTTTGCAGACACGGTGTACATGAAATTCCAGTTGCGCAGACTTGCAGCAAGCCCACTATCCAATCGCAGACAGAAGCCCCCTCCATACGAAGGTAAGTGTTGAATCGGATTCCACTCCGTTTAAAGTGGGCTGTAGAAAGGTATCTAACCTAGCTACCTGGAGAGAGGTTGCTTTCAGGCTGCCCACCTTGACCTTGATCAGTTGAAGCGCTGCTTCATCTGGGAAGGATACTGCAGCCAGCGAGTCCTCAAGATACAGGTCGTTGGCACAAAGCCGCTCTTTTGTATGGCTACATCTTCACTTTGAAGAATGTCCCCGTTGGCGGTGAGGGTTACCTTAGACGCTATACAGGCTATACGCCTTCGAGTTTTCCTGGCCAAGCTGCGATCTCCTTTGGGCTGCCGTCCATGATCTGAACAGTTTGCAGAGCGCTGGTTGAAGCCTCTGCCTGCACATCCTGCCAAAGTACTGAAACTAGTGCACGAGCAGCGGGCAGCTACATGCACACGCTAGCTCCCAACTTGCACTGAGGCTTGCCTCTTCACTGGCTTCCTCTGCGTCCTCCTGTTTTGCCTCACCTGTACTGTCGCAGGAGCATACCAGGTGATTTCAGTAGGAAAATCAGCATCAGCTGAAGGACGGCAGCCACTTGCTGGTCTGTGGCAACAGCCCTAGACTAGGGCCTATGATGACTCCTTCGGGATGGTAAATTGTTCCATTGTGCCCGTTGGACGAAGCCCTTTTGTGCGAGGACATGAGCACGAGATCCTGCAAGGTGTTCCAGCGATGCTGATGATTGTCAAGAACTTCGACCTGTCGACCCCAAGAACAGAAGTGAAGGTGAACGGAAGCACCCGGAAAGAAAGTGCAAAATACAAAGAATACCAAGTATGTCAAAGTAGAACTACTTTTAATTCCTTCTAAATCAAGCTCACAAAGCTCCATTTGCCAAGCGCCTACGTCTCCAGTCGGAGCCTCTGAGGCTTCCTCCTCAAAGTGTGCATCATTGAATCATGGTGCAGGGTTTAAGCAGGGTGCGAGGTTTAGGAGCAAGGGCATGGTTGCTCAGTGTTGTAGGTTCGCAATGTGTTTAGGCACCGCAGCTGGCTCAGGATGATAGACTTCAAGGCAGGACGTAGGACTCTGAAGGCACGAATCCCTCAAATCAAGCTTGGGAGGATGACCGTGCATGTCCTGATGACATCAGTTCTCTCAAGTTCTCAACTTCACTTCTCAGGTCTTCTCAGGTCTTCTCATGTCTCCTTCGCGGCGGAGGTCATCTCAGAGGGCTCGGGCTCCGCGCTCTCCGCGCTGGGCCTGGAAATGCTGAAAAAGGCTGAGAGCGAGAAGAAAAAAGGACGAGGGAGTTCTCAACTGTCACGGGTTTCGGTAACGGCAAGAGGACTCCACGAATCCGTAACCTGATGCCAGCGATATCAACGCCAGAAAAATGCATGCTGAGCGTCTCGTTGGCCAGGGTAGGATCCTAGGATTGTTTCACACGACACGTGCCCGGCCCTCTCCCTGGCATCTGAAATCATCAGGACAAAATTTGGAGCTATCAGCACGACAGCTGCAACCAACACTTGTTGATGTCATTCTGACGGACAGTTTTGCTCACGAGTGGTTGTCTCCAAGGTCACAAAATGCTAATCGTCATCGCCGAGTGGCAACAGAGTAGACGGAGGATGCCAGCGACGTGCCCGGATCTGGACACCATCGGAGAACTCCGTCCAGCAGGGATGCATGGAACTTCAGGTGGTCCTGGATGAAACCTTTACGGCAGCAGCAAAGAGCACGCGTCAGCATCTGAGACTTGAAGCTCTCATCAGCTGCTGAAACGTGGGAGAACCATTACACAAGGTCTTTCGACACAAAGAACTGCTGCTGTGGCAATAGCGTCACTTGCAGATCAGGCAAGCTGTGGAGTCTAATGCATCGCAGAACTAAAGTCCAGGCCAAATCTGACAGGTTTGTGAAAGTGAGGCTCGCACTTGAGATGAAGCAGTAGGAATGGTCGTAGTTGGACCTCATTGCAGTGCTCCGACTGGCTGCAGACTGGCGCCAACTTGAATCTAAATAGAATGCAGTTGGTGTCCCTGCGCCCTCCTTGCACCTCAGTTCTTACCTGCAGCGGTGACGAGTTGAAATAGCCCATGTTAGCCTTGACTCCTAAAGCGAACGGGCTCAGAGTCCAAGCCTGCTGCTTGATACGTGGATGCCAACAAAACAACAACTGAGCGAAGCCGCTGCATGCGTAATGTGAGCGCAATGCCCTTGTCGTCGCAAACCTGAGCTAGCTGTCAATCAAACTGTGAAGGCTAAAGGAGCTAACAGCATGTGCTTACTCAGGATGCTTTGTCGCAGCAGTGGATTTAGAACTGGCCTTTACGGCGCTCAAGCCAAAGCTTCCGCCGGCTTTCGGAATGTCTCATGTTCACCCTGAACGTGGATCTCGCCCCTCATCGAATCTCGGATCTGTGGATACAAGGACTCAAAGACTCACGATGTTTTTGCATGATAACCAGCTTCGGGTGATGCTGTCCTTGCCAGCCAAAGAATACGGCTGGGCTACTGCCAGAAAAGACCTCCTCCCTCCAGAGGCAACAACATCACTTAGGTCGAAACAATGATGAAAAATCTTGTGCTGCCCTGTCACAGCCTTCAGCAGACCGGGCTTGAGCTGCTCGGAGAGGAACATGTCTGATGTGCCTTTGAGAACTAGACCAGCAATGGCAGTGGTATATACGTTGCCATTTTCGACAGCAGTACAGTCGAAACTTGTTCCAGTCTCCCTTTCAATGCCAGTTTCGGGCAGGATACACATGAGTCATGCTGCCTTGATTCTGCAGCTTGCACAGGAAGAATCAGCTGTGAGGCAGGCGAATAAAAAACTGAAAGCTTCTGCAGCCACACATGGTTCTACGTCGTGCCGTCAAAAAATGAGCAGTGTTTAGAGGTGGAAGCGTTAGTGGTGTCAGAATCATTTCACTAGAATTTCGGGATGGAACATGAAAAGAGAGCCAATTAGGCAAAAGCCTGTTCGGCAGTCAAAGCACCTTGGTCCACAAGAAGGCGCAGGGGTGGCCCTCGATAGCGCCTGCAGCTGACTCTGGTGCAAATGCCTTTGTTAGGTCTGGCCGTGTGGCTGCAGAACTTCGGAGAGTAAGATCAAGAATTCTGAAAGAATGCCCCATGATGGAGCCTGCAGAGCTGAAAGCATCTAGTTCTGAGATCTTTCAAGAATTCAGTCACTGCGTGAGCTACACCGACAAGCCATGAGCTCCTCAGCAGCTCCACTGCGTCATTCTCAGCCCACGCTGTCGTGTCTTCACCTTACACCAGCGGCTCCATGCAGCAAAAGCAGTCTTGGGGCTTGCACAAAGTGCTGTGAGAGCAGGCTTCTGTAGCCTCAAGACTCGTGAACTCGCATCAATGAAAACTGTGCAGGCTGATTTTCGGAGAACTGCCTGCCACAGATCATGACAGATTCCAGTCCATCGCGCAGTGTCATCCAGAAGCTATCATGGAGAAGCTGGCGAGGCTTCTGCGAAGAAACGCTATTTAGATTGCTGGCTATATGAAAGGCATACTTTGGGGACCTCGATTTTGGTGAATGAGGTGCTTCAATTTAAGCTTTCTGGTGCTGCTCACACTAGTCATGAAGATCACAAGACGTGATGCGGCTCTTTCGAAATTGCGCGCGGAAATGCGGTGTGCAGAAAAATCAAAAACGACATTGGCATGCCAAAAATATAGCCAGATTGGGATCGCACTCTTGCAGCCTTATCCGCGACCAGCCGTATGCTCAAGCACAAATAGGGAACTGAAAGAGAAGCGACAGCAAAGGCTTGCCTATGTAAACTGGCTTGGTTTCTGCTTGGACGGGAAAGTTTGGGGCATGCATTTGGGTTTCCAACTGCTTTTGATCCGCAGTCTTTTCGGTTGCTGCTTTCTTTCTTTCCTTCTTATGTATCTTTCAACTTTTGTGATTGGGGTCCGTTTGTAATCCTCAGGTTCGGAAGACCTGAATTCTGCAGGAACTTGCAAAAGGCCTGAAGTGTAGTATATCGGGGTGTACGTGGACAGGCATGGGAAACAAACGTACTCTGCAGCCATGGGACCCAAGTAGAGGCTGAAGGCCTTCTGGCCCCAGGGTGACTCAGAAGGATTCCTCAGATGCAAATCCAAACCATTGGATGGTGGATCGGGGCTCCATACACTACACCCGCATTGTCAGGAGCGGATCTCATGGTGTGGGCAAATTGTTCAGGGCATTTGCCAACAGAAAGCAAGCCCTGAGCTCAAGACCAACAAATCACTACCGTTGAATACCGTTGATATGCCAGGCATCGATATGGGCGCAAAGGCAGAGACAGACCGGTACATGCCCGGGTTTTTCCTGAACAGGCCATGCAACATCAAGCAAATGCAGCTGAACTTGCTCTACCAGCACCTCCGCCCCTCGCAGCACATGGAAAGCTGGTTTCTGAACGAAACTGTTCATACCTTCTATTCAGGCCCCAGCAAAGCTGCCACGAGAGCGCCGTGGCCGCCCATGGAGTGGCCCATGATGCCCAGCTTCTCAGGAAGAAGCCTCCAGTTCTCCAAGTCTTGAGATTTTCAAGGATAGGGTCCTAGCAGAACTGAGGTAACTCGAGAATGACTGTGACTTGTGTGAGATCTTCTACGAATTCTTTTTCACGGTCTCCCGGAGCTGGGCCATCCCTAGCCTTCTGTTAGGTAGGGGAACTACCGTGTAGTTTTCCCCGCCAGCAAGGCAGGACTCGCTTGAGATCTGGTCACGTCGGCAAGAGCAGACCCCGCAAGGATGTGGCTCTGCTTGGATTCGCTTCTTGGCTGATGGATTTGCCTTGCAGCCAGCTTGTGCCTCTGGACTTCTTTGAGATGCTTCTCAGGTTGTGCACTCTTACGATCCTGAGCTTTCCGCTGGCCAAAGTCAACTGCCTGCAGCTGAGGAACGGCAGCTTTGCAACCATAGCACTGGGAAGCTCCTCCAAGACTTCAACTCCGATCACAAGGCTTTCGACAGTGTCACACGGTTGCAAAGAAATTCTTGAAGCATTGACTAGGTTGCAGTGTTCTTCGGCGACTGCTCCATTATTCGTCTGCTCGCTGTTGAGCTGAGAGCAGGTGGGTTGATGACGTGCGCTCATCAGTAGCGGGCATGCTGCTTGTGATACCTCCTATGACTCTCCTATGGAATCTTGCTACTCAACACAAGTAATTAAACATCTTACGTACCAACCCGAGCCCTGGATTCCACAGCGTGTCAACTTGTAAAAGCTTCGCTGTCACAATTTCCGCCTAACAAAACGAAGTCCTGCGTCAGGTAATCCAGCATCCTGTAATGCTTCCTTAGCGCTGCAGTGGCTTCTGAGGACTCTATTTCAGGCTGCGAAGCAGAGAAGGTTTCTGATACATTTTACCAACTTGTTGAAAAACTTGCTTCGCCAGGTTGCCTGTACTTGTCGGTCGTCGCATTCACATAATAGCCTCTGATACGCATGATAAGCTGGCTGCCCAGGCCACAAAATGTTCAGCATATCTGGTCTCAACTATGATGAAGGATCAGGATAGGATCCTGTGGTACAAGTAAAGCCAGTACCGCCAGTATGGCCGACATTCCACTTCAAGCCCTCCACATGGTGCCAAAATTCAAGCCAGGAGGCTTGCTCCCACACCCACATCAAAGCCATCCTCGTCAGGAACGCCCTCTCCGCGCGGCGAGGTGTCTGGCATGATAAGGATCAGCCTCAACTGACCAGGGCCGGCACGTATAAAATGCTCCCTTCTTTGGGGGATAACACGTAGCGGCGATGTAGCAATACGTAGCAAGTGGAACCATGACCTTCGCCAGAACCATTTCCTCTCGGCCCCCTGCTTCAATCGCTCGGCCATCGCCAAGCCTCCGCCGCGCTGGGCGAAGGACTCGTCTGTGCAGGTCATGCCAGAGAGCCAAATGACCTCAACAACTTAAACGAGAAGCTGCGGCCCTACATGAACTCTGAACATGCAAGGTGCCGTTGTTCACAACACTCCCATGCAAGGCAAGAAAATGGGACAGCATAACCTGTTTTCAAGAACGGCAGCCTTCCAGAAAAGATCCAGAGCGCCACAATCACTACAGAATCGCTCACGTGCCTCAAAAGTTACTGACTCATGGCTGTAACTTGCACCTGGGGAGTGTCTGCAGGAACAATTTGATGGATCCTCTTGGCCCGCGAGGGGTCCGAGGTGCATGCTGGACCTGTATTCGTACCCAGGGAGCCCAAGACGTCTCAGGCAACCTGGGTGCCCAGAGAGAAATGGAAACTATGGAAAGTCATCGGAGTCTTTGCACAGCAGTGGTAGTAGCAATGTACGCGCAATTGGAACACTGTTGCTGGCGAAAGCTGGACTGCGTGCGGATTTCAATACAAATGGTGGAGCTGTTCCATGTACACCCAAGTCTGGTCTCAAAGAGATGACAGGCGTCGCGAGTGATTTGATTTACCTCAACTCCCGGATCAAATATTACGCTGACATCAATCAACCGACCATTGACCTGGGAAAAAAGATGCGGAACATTCCATCAGACCCCAGATGTTACTTGTTGGAGTTTATTAAGCCTTGCTACTTCAGCTTGCGGGCTCTGCCCTGCAAGCAGGAAAAAGGAGACGAGCGAGGCAGTCAGTTTAAGACACACAAACAGCCAACAGCGCCCACACCACATGTGAAGCTGTGAAGGCAGGGGCCAACTCGTCACATCCAGGCCAGACAAATCACTAGCGTCACTAGAACATTGGCACATGCCTCTCCAATCACAACCAGATGGGCATGTTCTTGGGGCTGGCCGGTTCACTGCCGTCAGAGGGACATCCACTCATCCAAGCAGTAGACGCCACACTCTCAGTTGCCACATCCACATCACGCTTGCCAAGCTCAAAGATCCCCGGTGCATCCAGGTAGACTGGCAGTTCATCGACAAGACCATCACGGCTGGATTGCTTCAGCAGAGACTTGCGGTGAGAACTCTCCAAGCTCTCCCGCAGCAATGCTGCAAAGATCTTTGGCTGAATCGACTCAGGGGCAAAAATTCCAAGGCCTGGAGGATTTGCTGAGCTGTCCTCCGTTCCCAGGCCTGGAGGCGGCCTGAAGCTCAAGGTGCTCATCGTATCAACACTCAAGGCCGATGTCATTTGCGACCTCATGCCAGCTTGCGGGGCGGATGCCATCGTAGACAGCATGGCAAGGGAGGCAAGTGATTCAGCCTGCTGGTCGTTTCCTCCACGTGCGTTGGGCACCTGCTTGGCTTCATTGTCGCGCCCATGCTTGCCCGCCTTCGGGAGGCGCCGGAGCTCGGACTTTCCGTGTGCGAATGTGCACTCCTCTCCGTTCTTGCAATGTCCTTTCCTTGCAAACTGGAAGCAAAGACGAGTTGACACCAAGTCTGGCTGATCCCTCAATTCCACTTCCGAATGGGCGAAGTTGCAGTCAGCGCCAAGATTGCATCGATTGACCTTCCAGTACTTGCACATCCGCGTGAACTTGAGGGCATCCCTCGTGTCCTTCATCTGAGCCTGCGACATTGTGGAGATTGGCAGAGATTTGACAAAACCAGCTTGCGAGAACGCTCTTCGTCTGCAAGCTTGAGCCGCGCGGACAACAGCCCTAGCAGGTTGATACCTAATGCAAGACGACTCGGCGCAAGCCTGAGAAAGAACCTCCTATGCTGGAGAACCGAAGCAGCGACCATGACATCTCGGCCGCATCTAGTTGACACCACTTCTCGATGAGTGCCAAAAGGGTCCAGAAGGAATTTGGCAAATTTAATCATGCTGAGGAGGAGCTTGTTTTTTGGCGCACGCAATGTGGCAACGCTCCTTGCGAAAGCCTGATTCTGAGAAAAATCAGATTGTCCATTGTGAAGGCTAGATTTTGAGCCGATGGAGCCGAAATGGATGCTTCACGTGCCTCTCAATTTCAGGACACTCCATGCTGGAGCATGTTTTTGCAGAATACCTACACGTGAGAGCTCGATTTTTTCACAACCTGAGGGCGCTCCTTCCGAGCTCAATTTTCACCAGCATCTGAATCTTTGGCCAACATGTAAGGAAGGATGCTTCAGGAGCGAGCAACATATGGGATTGGGATAGAAATAATGAAGAGCGTGCTAATGCTAGTACCACCAAGGGTCTCAACAATAGTGGCCTTCGTAACAGCATCATAAAAACAAAGATAGTATGAGTACAGTGAAGAATAATCACCATAATCATAATAATACAAATGATGATAAACATAGCATTCGTGCTAGCATTGGCGACAGCACCAGTAGAACCAACAGCAGTGGTAATCACCTCAAAAATATCGAAAGATGGACGATTGCAGAACATGAAGGTTGGTGCTGAGCCATGGTAACATTTCTGAGGCGGTGTGTTTGCTTTGAAAACGGGTGAAACATAATCTAGTTATGATTTTTTTTGGTGGTGGGGCGGTAGGCGAGAGCTCATTTTTTGAGCCAAAATCTGAGGACGCTCTACGCTGGAGCTCAATTTGGCGTCAAAATGTGAGAAAGCTCTATGCAAGAGCTTAACGTTGAGCCCAAACTTGAGAATGCTCTGCGTGGGAGCTCAACTTAATGTCAAAATATGAAAAGTCCATGCAAAAGAACTCAATCTGTTAGGATGCTCCTGCAAGAGCTCGATAGATCACAGCGATAATTAGTCGAAATGAGAACAAATTAATACCAGTCGTACTGATACTCAAAGTAATCATAGCAGTAGTGATAAAACAGAAGAGGCATTCTAATAAAAGCTACGAACCAGGAACACGGCTATTAGAAATACTATTCTGCATAATGCTCCCTAACCCTCCCTTACGGCAAACATGGCGATGACATGATCTTTTCTACCGTAAGCATTGATGAATGAAAAAAAGGGTCTGGGAAGGCGCAGCAATCCCCGCAAGCGGGGGGCTGGAGCCCCCACATTTGACAACAAAATGATCCACACAGCCTTCCTATTCGGCAAACATGGTGATGACATATCTTTTAGCCGTAAGCATGGATGACCTAAAAAGAACGGGAGCCCCTCCGGTTTGCAAACAAAATGATCCGCACAGCTTTACCCTACTGCAACCATGGTGATGACATGATTTTTTTCGGTAAGCTTGGATGGCTGCAAGAAAAAACAGGGGGGTTGGTGGGGCGCAGCCCCCCCATTTGCAAACAAAATGATCCGCACAGCCTTCCCCTATGGCAAACCTGGTGATGACATGTTTTTTTCCCGCAAGCATGGATGGCCTTAAAAGAGCCCCTCCCATTTCCAAACAAAAGTATCCGCACAACCTTCCTCTGGTGCAAACATAGTGATGATATGATGATTGCTTTTTATTGCAAGCATGATTGCCTAGAAAAGCAGGGGGTTGTAGCTTCATGGTGATGGCGTGACTTTTTTTCGGTAAGCATGCATGGCTTTACAAAAGCGGGCGGCAGCGGGGCGCACAAACCTCCATTTCCAAACAAAATGATCCGCACGGCCTTCCCCTACTGCAAGCATGTGGTGACATGAATTTCTGCGGCAAGCATGGATGGTTTACATAAAGCGGGAGAAGGCAAGAAGCCAGGAAGAAAGCCAAGAAGCCAAAAGCAGGTGAGCCAAAAGCCAGAGAGCCCAGAAGCCAAGAAGCGAGCAAGCTCGAAAGCCTAGAAGATGCAGAGCGGAGAAGCCGGAGAAACCAACAAGCCGGAAAGCCGGGAAGCCAAGAACAAGAAATACATAACAAAAACAACAAAACACGCGTTAAACAACAAAATATTCATTTCAAAATTTGCGGTGGCGAACTTGGGAAGCCTCCCCAGCCATTTGCAAAGCATGGATGAAGATGGAAACATGTAGCTTCTAGCTAAGTTTTGAAAGGGTTCCTCACACAACATGTCGCTGGAAAAGCCGTATCGAGGTTGGCTGGCGCAGCCCCCCAATTGCAAAACATGAACGAAGCTGCAGCATGTGCTGTCGATTGGGAGCTCGACACGCTTCATAAAATAGAATTTGGGGTTGGACTCTATTCAGGGAAGCTCCAATTACCAAAAGACATCATGTGGATTTTTTCGAGAACTCACAGCTGCCGAGGAGAATACTAATCCTCATACTAGACGGTAGACCAGAGATCCACAACACTGGGGGAACAGCAGACGAGACCAGGACCCTCACAAAAAAGAAGCACAAACACCCAAATTAAAGAGTCCCCCGTGTTGTCAAAACATATGCAGCAAGGACACAGTCGGGAGAAAGTCCCAAAAAGAACACAAGATTGACAGCACTTGTACATGATTGCACAATCAAGGACTTGCAAAGCTGCTATCCATATCATGATGCAAGAGACAAATTCTGAGAATGACTGTAAGTGGCCGGCGCCGGGGAACCTCGGTGCACACTGCTGCATAGTGGGGGTCTGGGGACCATGCAAGGCATTCAGGACCTGGACGAGTCTGCTTGGAGACTGCAGCAAGGTCTGAAACTGTTTCCAGACTTCCTGCTTCCCGACTCCAAAACCCAAATGCCACCAGGCTCTGCGTTCAAACTGCAACAACCACAAAGCGGCAGCTTTGACTGAGTGCTGCAGGAGCACTTTGTGGGCGGCCCACTGGGCACGAAGGCTGAAAGCTTCATGGAGCAATAGCCCAGCACCTTCTCTCCAAGCTGGCATGGTGCAGCTGCTGCAGTTGAACATTTCTGACTTCTGAACTTGCGAGAACTTTTTAGAAAGGCTTGCTACAAGTCTGGCTGAAGGCTCCAGCAAAGGTCACCAAACCAAACGCAGAGGCAGCCAAGCCACCGGGCTGATATGCTCCTGATCATGAGAAAGCTTGTGTGGCACTGCAAAAGAGAGGCTCGAAAGCCCTACAGCTCACACATCTCGTTTCACTTTTCATGAAGGCCTAGCTGACTTAGGCTCCCGTCAATGCCAAGGTTCGAAGCGGTACAGTGTCCCACCGTAGCATCGGTGCGACATGATCTCCACGAGTTCGGGCTCGGCCATCAAGTGCCGCAGCATCCTCCACAGGCTGAAACAAAGCAAACGAGGCTGAGGAAAAAGGTTAAGAAATGTGATGCAAGCTTCCAAATTTCAGCCAGGCTTAAGGACGGAAAAGCATTAGAATCAAGTTTGGCCAAGTGAAGGAATGCGAGATGCCCTCTGCCCCTTTTGCGAGTGCTATAAGGTATACTGGGGTACGCGAGGCAAGTGTGAGGAGCAGCAACATCCTAACTCGGTTGGCGGGCACATCTGGAATCTAGACCCCAACAGCGCCTCACAACCCAAAAACAGCATGGCATAAACCCAGCGACCGGGCAGCTCTGCGCTCCTTTGCTGCTGTCGGCGAGCATTTAGCTGGCCTTTCTCACGCACGAGAAGCTCAGATGGCGTTTGACTCCTGGATCCCCTACATCCCTAATATGAAGACCTTCCCTATCCTGAGATAATAAATCCAACAATCCTGATCCCTGAAGAGAATTTTCCAAGGGAAGACAACTTCTAAAAGGACCACCCAATAACGCATTATTCTCGAGGGAAGGCGGTCTCAGCTTCAATTGAAAATGCTGTTAGATTGATGTTAGGTAGATTGTAAAGGGTTGTTGTTTGGACCTTCATTGGATTCTAACCAGATTTAAACTGATTTTGATTCTTTAGGTTTCACTCAGATGTTAGTCAGATTTTAGTTGACTTTGGTCAGATGTTAATTGTGTATCAATTGATTTTAGCTCGATTTTACTTAGACTTCAACTGATTCTATCTGAATAAGATCTGAGACCTCTATCGGGTTTTAATTAGATTCCAAGAAATTTCTGCCTGATTTAATGGATCTCTGATGATCTAGAGTCTAGAGGCGGCACCATCTCCTTCTATCCCCTAACATTTATCAATTTTCGGGGCACGTATTATTTAATACTACCGGGGGGGGGCAGGGGGTCATTTAATGTTAGGGCCTGTTAGGGGGAAGCGACTATCCCAATGGTGGCCACGCTGGCTTCAGCCGCATTTGAAGGTTGCCTCAGCCCAAGCCTCAAATCTATGACCTCACACATTCAAGCGTTTTGGAATGGGAAGTCCAAGATCATGGCAGTCAGCTCGTGAACAACAAACGTCGAAGTTCAGCACAAAGCAAAACAAGTCTTGGTTAGTGCCATCATCGATCTCCTTTTTGGAGCGGATGCTGGATTTGTCACAAGGTTCATTGAACCCTTAGCCCTGCTTTTGCCAGGAAGGCAAGATCAGGGCCTGGTGAGTCGTGGTGGGCTGGTAGCTTGCGTAGCGTAGTAATAATTGGATCGCGGGGATCAATTAGAACAACTTCCTCAAAACCCATTGCCAGAGTCAGCTCAAATAGGTGATTCAAACTGAAACTTTGTTCAAACCCCTGCCCCGGTCAAAGAGCAGTAAAATCAAAGGATACCTTGGGGGTTCTTACGTGCACGCCATGGCACATGGCAGCAAAGGCCGGCTGGAGCTCGAGCACGGCAGATGCGGCAAAGTCCTACAGGTTTTTTAATTGCTTGACCACTCTTGACTGGCTTTACAGGCCTTTGTTGCACTTGCATCATTGCTGTGAGCATCATATTGTTGCATCTTGTTGCTGCAAATTGACTCTGCTCGTGCTTCCGGCAGTCATCCCTGACCCTTCTCTGGTCCTCAAGCCGCCATGAAAACGCAACTTGACCATGCGAATCTTCGACATGGCTTCATGCTTTACGCTTCCTGTATGCAGCCAGAAAACGATGTCTCTGGTGAGTGTCTGACTGCTGATTGCACTCTTCCACCTGCGCAAAGCCCCATCTGCTAGAACGTGAACCAGAGGCGCAAACACATGAACAAACCTTCAATAGCTGCATCACCCAGCAGGTTTGGACTTGTGGGTCCCGCAGTTGAGCATCTACGACTTTTTTTTGCGATTTTGTAAAAGCAAGGACAGCTGAATCTGACCTTGAGCCATGATGCAAAAGCGTTGCAAGTCATCCTCATGCCCAAGAGCCGCCAAGACAGATCCCAAATCTCAAACCACAACGCATGCTTTAGAACAGCTCTGCTTGATCCACAACACGTCTGTGTACGCGATGATTACAGGCCTTGGGCAGCCCTGTGTACTTCCCTACAAAACCAGTTGCAACCGTGATCGCTGCTGCCTTCAGACTCATTGATCGTGAGCCGTCCAAAGCACAAGCGTATTTAACAACAAAATGGCTAAGTTATGTGTCTGATTGACAGTTCATGCGAACTACAGCGGTTGGAACTCTTTGGAGGCTGTAAGCACTGTTGCTTCAAAAGCTGTAGAGATCAAGCATCGAGGGATTCGATCTTCCCCTGTTGGCAAGCGCACAAAAGCTGCAACTGAAAATTGCGGGATTTCAGAATTTTCGCGAGCAAATGCTTCAACGGCATGAACCTACATGCGGAACTTTAAAATATAAAGCAAAGAGAATCAACTCAGTTTGGTTTTGGACCATGTGCAAAACAATAATTAAGAAGGGTGAGAGTAGTACGAGTACTAGTACTCGTATTAGTACTGGTACGAGTACTAGTACTAGTCGTCGTCGTAGTATTCGTAGTATTCGTAGT